AGACTCAAGAGTATCCTGCCTGAAGCCCAACCCATGGGCTTGGGACGTTACAACCTCCACAACCACAAAGAGAAATTTCCTTACAGTAAAATCTCTCTCTATATGAGAGGGATTCAAGAAGTTCATGGGCAAAAAATCCATTATCTTGCAATTCCATTTTTCCAAGAACTTTTTGAGAGCTGCTTGTGCATGCTGGAAATGATCCCGAGGACCCCACGAGTATGGATTTTGAGATAAACACACTTTAGTAAGTAGATTAATCCACAAATATGGAATCCACACACAGTTGGGGGGAGGGTATTCTTACTGATGGCCATACTTGGGTGTTGCACCCCATTAAGCTGGGCTACTAAGACAAAAGCTGAGAGGTTGGATCGATCCCAAATACCCAGAGAACTGCCTTGGAAGAAGCATGGCCAGAGGGCTCCTTCTAGAGGCGAGGATGGCAAAACTTCATCCTCCATACGGTGGACAGGTTGTCAGGAGAGACCAGGCCCTGGCGGGGGACATCATGCTCAGTAAGGCAGAGGGGCAGTTAAAAAGAAGGCGGTCCTCAGGGAGATTGCAACAATGGGCTCAGGCATAGGAACAATTGTGTGGCTGGCACAGGACTGGGCAATGTTGCCTTCTGTCGAGCCTCCTCTATGGTACCCAGCAACAAGAGCCAGGAGATCTCCTGCCAAAGAGAAATCAAACCTCTGACAATCGTATTGGGTACAGTTCTCCTTGGAAGCACACCGAGGTTGCCAGGAGGCGGAATCGACTTGACAGCCGCTACTTTGGCTTTGGGTTTATCATCTTGGTCACCACCTGGTTGGCAGTAGGTCTCATTGCTTTGACTTAGATGTTGCTGCAACGCTCGAGGCTACACCGCTGAGTACTCCAATACCAGGTCGGTCACTCACGGCAGACAGGTTTCAGGTAGAAGACAAGCCCCCTAAGCTAGAAGGCCAACACAAGACCCATAGCAATGCGTGGGATACAAAAGGTTTTTCCCCAGATTACCCTGCCACCTCCCGTACGCCCCCAGCCCCCATAATATATGCCCAGCCTAGGGCTCTGCTTGCTAGTGCATCAGAGGTCAACTGCTTGTCCCACCCTAAGTAGGGCCCACTCCCTTCTGATAAGGGTAGTGCATTGTTTTCCTGAAGGAGAGTCTAGAGATGTGGTGATGCCAACTCAAGGAGGACCAAGGTTAGGCTGCCATCTTGATGTAGGGTCTGCCCATCTTGTCACATGTGTACCGCTAACCCCTCCCCTTCCTAGTGCGTGTACACCCCTAGCTCATCCCCTTCCTGTCGTGTGTATGCCTATTGTACAGCCCTTCCTGTTATGATGTGGTTACCTGGAATCAGAGGGGCTTGCATGCCCCTAAGTATATATAAGCTGTGATTGGAAATATACTTCGTCCTCCTCCTCCTCTCTGTGCAGACCTGGCTGCTGAGATCATGGCTGAATGGAGGTGAGGATGCTACTATGGATTGTGCCTGACTTCTTTATTTTGCTTTCTCTTGCATTTCTCCTATCTTCTATGACTTTACTTCTTTATATATTATAGCTGTACAATTGTGCCTATGGATCCTGCAGTTGTTAGAGGCTGGTTTACTCTGACCGCAATCGACCAATGAACCTATAGCTTTCCCCCCTCCCATTTTACCTTCCTTTGTTTCATCTTTCTGCCCTGTGCTGTCCATCGTAGGGCACCAAGGCATTGAACTCTGGTGCTGGGGAAGAATGCTGAAAGAACCAAGGACCATGGAAAAGACAAACCCATCTGTCTTGGAAGAAGTATGGCCAGAGTGCTCCTTAGAGGCAAGGATGACAAGAGTTCAGCTTACATGTTGTCAGGTGAGACCAGTCCCTGGAGAAGGACATCCTGCTTGGTAGAGCAAAGGGGCAGCAAAGGAGAGGAGGCCCTCAGGAGATGGATGGACACGGCTGTATCGACGGACTCCAGCATGGGGACAATTGTGAGGATGGGTGGGGCAGGACCAGGCAGTGTTTCATTCGGTGGTGCTTAAAGACTCACAGTGGCCCTACAGGACTGAGTAGAGCTGATCCATAGGGTCTCTAAGACAAAAAATCTTCATGGAGGCAAACACACTCATCTTTCTACAGTGGAACAGCTGATGGATTTGAATCACTGGCCAACAACTTCACCCACTGTGCCACTAGAGCTCCTGCCAAGAAAATCTTATGGGATGGTTCTACTCTGTCATTCAGGGTCACTTTGGGTAAAAAACAGACTCAACAGCAATGAAGAGAAACAGCAAATAACAGGGGAATGAACTTGGAAGACGGACTTGAGTAGCTGACTGCTGGGCAGAGAGCACTCACACAGACACCACCACCACCACCACCACCACCACCACC